CTCTCCAGCGCCCACGACGCAGAGCCGCTCTCCAGCGCCCACGACGCAGAGCCGCTCTCCAGCGCCCACGACGCAGAGCCGATCTCCAGCGCCCACGACGCAGAGCCACTCTCCAGCGCCCACGACGCAGAGCCGCTCTCCAGCGCCCACGACGCAGAGCCGCTCTCCAGCGCCCACGACTCTGCGTCTCTCATGCTCATGCACCTCTCATGTGTCTTAGGCATTAGAGGTTGACACCCAGACAATTATATTAGCATTAACAATTAAGCAGAAGTCACAAGAGCAGGAAGAAACACATGACATCCGGCACACCTCACATCATGTTTGTTATTAAACCCAACAGCCATGTCTGTTTTCAATCTGCACTCCACCCGCAGCAATACAGATCTCCACACATCCTCCAGCGACCAAAGACCCATATAAACAATCCATGTCCTCTATTATACGTTCCACGGACCGAACACCCGATCGTCCGGACTCATAAAGAGCCTACTAGGTGATGGACATACCTGGAAGCCGGTTTCCCGGGCTGCTAAATCACTCTTCCCTAGATTACGTTCCCTCTTCCCTGTTTGAATTTACCACGAAATTCGAATCCTAACATCCGGTCTCTCCCGGAAGTGTAACTCCCCCGCTCGCTGCTCTCGTTGATCATTTCCTGTGTTCTGTCACAAAAGCCAATATGTCAGATTTGCCAAACTCGTCGTTTCCGTTGGCTGTCGATTACGTTTCAGTGAAACGCGACGCACTGCGCGTGCGTGTCTGACAACAACCACTTTGGCTGGTATGATGATGATGTGCTGCGATGAGCTTTTCTGAATAGGCATACTGCACATGCGTCCCTGACGTTATTCCTGAGCTTGGCTGCTATGACAGATCGCCCTGTCTCCCTGTCACATTTTCCAAAATGTCTACAGGGCATGCGCGAGCTGAACGTCACCTCCAGCATTGGCTGATTTTTATATCTTCGTCTTTTTTTGGTCATGTAAACTGTCCACGTCATCTGAATGCACACTGCTAATTTTAACCCCCGATGTGCACCCTAGTCTGCACTGCTCATCCTAATCCTTACAGGTTATCCTAGTCCGCACTGCTCATCCTAATCCTTAGAGGTCATCCTAGTACGCACTGCTCATCCTAATCCTTACAGTTCATTTTAGTCTGCACCGCTCACCCTAATCCTTGCTTGCACATCCTGGTTTGCACTGCTGATCCTTACAGGTCATCTTAGTCCACACCGCTCATTCTAATCCTTACAGGTCATCCTAGTCTGCACTGCTCATCCTAACCCTTACAGGTCATCCTTAGCCCGCACTGCTCATCCTAATCCTTACAGTTCATTTTAGTCCGTAACCGCTCACCCTAATCCTTGTTTGCACATCCTGGTTTGCACTGCTAATCCTTACAGGTCATCTTAGTCCACACCGCTCATCCTAATCTTTATATGTCATCCTAGTCTGCAGTGCTCATCCTAATCCTTACAGGTCATCCTAGTCCACAGGGAGTGAGGTCTCAGGCTGTTTCCTGTCTCTCTCCCCAGGTTCGGGGACAAAAAGGCGGCACACAGACTGGACGGTTCTGGTCCTAAACTGTCAGTACAAGAACAGCGTCCAGGCTTTCAGAGAGGTGAACGTGCCATGGATCTACCTTCTCTTTCCTACCCTCCATTACCTTTTCTTCCCTTCCCTCCTTTCCCTCATCTCCCCTTCTCTCTCTCCCTTCCCTTCTCTCCCCCTCCCTTCCTTTCTCACTCTCCTCTTCACTTATCTTCTCCCTCCTATCTTCCCTCTAATTAATGCCTTCTTCACCCAGAACTGGAGATCAGACAGCGGCGGGGGTTTCTTCCGCCGGACACACTGTTTTAGATGGTGGAGGACCCCAGGATCACGTGGTCAGCGGAGGAGCCACCCTGAATGCTCTGCTGGTGGTTGTGAAATGGAAACCAGATCAAATATCTGCTGAGGTATCTGCCCCCGTTCTAATTTGTTGTATACGGTGCACCGTAAGAATCACACAGACACAAGGTTCAGGTCATGATACTTCCTTTATTACGCTAAGGCACGAAGGTTTTTATAGGCAAGCAGCTAGTGCTGTGTGCAAAGGTCATGTGAGCGTAGCGTCATAAGCTTCTGATTGGTCATGTCCATATAAGGTAAACTTCCTTCAGGATCCAAACATTGTCATCTTGGGTGTAGTCCCGGGAGGAGGCACCATCCTAGTTTCTTGTTCTTCACACGATGGGAGGGGGTCTTGCTAAGCGGCCATTTTGAGCAAGGAATATAGAACTAAAGAAAAGGGTTGTAACACACACACACATATACAGAGTAAAATAGACATTTTACTCAATTCCATCACAGTTGTAGAACACCTTTTGCACTTGTGCCATGTACACGGTTTGTACTCTGACTCTGCACTTCCTGTGGGCCCCTGGGTGTCATGTGCGGGCCCCGGTAGTGCAACCCGTACTTGTGTAGATCACTGTGTCCTGTTAGTCACCTCCAGAATGATGAGGTCCTGTCATTGTCTCCCTTCTGTTAGGGATGCACCAATATTAGTATTGGGCGAGTACTTGTACTCGCTCAAATGCACAGATACTTACCTCCGATACCTGAAGATTTCTTCTGACCAACAATGCCGCGAGGAACATTGAGCCGGCTTTCCAGCCAGCCAGGAAGCCGGGCGGCGGCTAATGACTCGCTGCCCAGCTTCCCATGATTGGCCGGGAAGCCAGCTCCATGCTGTTTGGCCAGCTCCGTGCTGATTGTCTGGGA